TACACACACACACACACACACACACACACACACACACACACACACACACACACACACACACACGTGCGCACACACACGCACACATGCACACGCACGTGCACACACACAGAGAACACACACCCCCTCTCTCTCACACACTCTCAATCGCACACTCACACACTTGCAGGCGCGCACACAAAAACATACACGCATATGTGCACGCGTGCGTGTGCTTGCCCATGCGCAACAATGTGCTTGAGCCATAACATTGCACGACAACAAGCCCCTCCCTGCACACCCCTGGCCCCCGCAGATCGCAATCCTGGGTGACTGGGACGACCCAGCCCAGTTCGAGGCCTTCTGCACCACAAGCGAGTTCAAGGCCATTGCAGACGGCCTCCAAATGCTGGAGCCCCCACAAGTCACCGTCCTGCAGGAATTGTCAGCGCCCCACTGATAACAACCACCAACAACAACAAAAACTACAAAACGGAGGGGCCAATGCCTCGCTCGAGGGTTTCGTGCCTCAGGGATGGGCGGCCAGCGTCAGCGTCGGGCGCGGTCTGCCGTGATGAGATTTGGGGGCCAATGAGGGCGGGTGCTGCAGCGTCCTGTGGGCATATGTGAGAATGTGCCAGGTTGTCATTGTGTTCATCACAACAATGAGAGATCTGGCCTTCTCTCTGGAACTTCCAAGTGCTGGCCTTTTTGCACGGCGCGACGTACACCCATCGGGTTCAAGGAAGGCACCTGGCGGCGGCCCTGCCCTTCACTGCTTGCAGCTGCAAACGGGGGGGCAAGAAAAGCTCCTCGCAGTAGCTTGACCCATTGCTAGGACATTTTTGTAAGTGGCATCCTGCCAGGCGCATGGTCATCTGAAAACCCCCGTGTCAGGTGTGGATCACACAGCTGTGGCAAACAGCCCACTGTACCTGAAGATGTGATTAGGCAAACGATCGGCGTGCAACGGCACGTGCCGCTGCATCCATTGTAACGAAAGGTTGTTATCCCGCAGAAGCGTTGGGCGTCCACGGGAGTGGGCGGGAGCGCGCTTGGTCGCAGGAACAGCCGGATCGCGATGAGATGTTGTGTGTGAGCGATGGACTCGAGCCGTTGCCGACAACAAAGGCAGGAGGGCCGTGCGGCGCCTGCATCTGTGGTGCGAGGGCTTGTGCAACCCCTTTCCTTGCCTGCCATACCGCTAGGCTGCCAGTATGTGTCGTATCAATCCATTGCGGGCCCCACCAGGCTAACATTCAAGCGCCAACCTGTGCAGGCCCCTCTTCACTGTTCCGGGGTGTTGTACTGCTAATTGCATCCCGATGATTGCGCCCTCCTCCCCCTGCAGATTGCAACCCCTGCAACTTGAGCATACCAGTCTGTTTGTGATGGCCACACCCAAACAAACTCTGCCTATGCAGTCTCTATGGAACAAAACGTAAGAGCGCCCGCGCCCTACACCCACAGCAGCGCCATGTGGCAGCAGCGCTTTACAATTGCGTGCAGCATCTATTTCTTGTCGCGCGGTGAGTGCAGAAACATAGACGCTCAAAGCGGGTGGCATATTGGGAACCCACCAGGACGCAAGGGGCGCGCCAGTCCGGGCAACAGCAGGCAGTGCAATATCAGCGGGAATGAGGGCAGAGCTGGCAGCCCCCAGTGACGATGCACGGTGTGATGACCGCCCGCAGCAATAATGGCCACAATTGCAGGAAGGCTGAGCAGTTGCGTGAGGTGTGTACAGGTGGTGGTTGTGGGTTGCTGCACGTCGCAGGATGCGCAAGTTGGCTGCAAAGCAGCGCGGCGTGGGAGGCAATCAGTGCAGCTTCAAGAAAGAAAAGGCCTGACGGCTCGAAGAAGGAAGTCTGCAGGTGGCCAGTGGAGGTGATGGGCGACATGATGCAGTCAGGCGAAGCGAGGAGCACCATGCGTCTCACAGACGCGGGTTTACGAGACACGGGTCGCGTGCGGGTTGCGTGTCCTTCAAGCGGTGTCTGCCTGCTTCAGGGCCTCCTCCAACGCCACCGAGTCCGCCGCCCACCCAACAATGCCACCCTGCGGCGCGGACGACGGCGCAGGGAGAGCAGGATGGGTGCAAGGGGACGCTCAGCAGCCTCGCCAGCTTCCCCCCCTGTCTGCCAACCCCTCTGAACAGCACCTGTGTTGCAAGCGGTCATTTGCGGCGGCCTCTCAGGCTTTGGATCCCTGTTTGCTCGTCCTCCCCCTCCCCGCGTACGTAGGAGGGTCTGACACCGACCCTGCAGGCTTCAGTCGCACAGAAGCGGGGGCTCGCACCTGCGCCACGATCATCTCTATGGCCGCGTCCTTGAAGGCCGGGAAGTACGAGGCGGTCGCGTCCGTCACCAGCAGGCACTCGTAGCCGCGGTCGTTGGCCTCGCGCATCGTCGTCTGGACGCACACCTGCGGGGCCGGAGGCAGGCGGCGGGCGCGAAACGGCGTTGCTGGGCGAGTGCAGAGCGGGGCGGCCGCCTCTTGAGAGGCCAACAAGGACGGCCAGCATTGCAGGAAAGCTGCTGCGCCGCGCGCCATGGTGCGCCTCGCGAGCCCCCATCGCTGCTGGTTGCCACAGCCAGAATCCGCGCCGGGGCTCCGTGGCGCCCCGCCAGCTGCCGCACCTCGGTGGTGACGCCGGCAAAGAGCAGGTGCGTGATGCCCTTGCTCTTGAGATAGGGCTCCAGCCCTGTAGCATAGAACGCGCCCTTGCCGGGCTTGTGCACCAGCTCCTCTCCGGGCAGGGGCACGAGCTCGTCGATGATCCAGTTGCCTTTTAGAGGGTTTCAGCGGTGAGGGGACAAGTTGGTTTGGCGCAGCAGCGGCTGGGGCTGTAGCTTGCTAGGTGCGGGGTTTGTGGCGTGGAGGGCCCTGGGGAGGGGCGCCCGGAAAAGTTAAACTAGCCACAGGGGCAGGATGAGTGGAAGGGGGTCGGGGGAATGGCAGCAGGGGACACAGCTGACTGCTGGCAATCAGGTACTCTTGACTGGCAAGTCTGAGCGTGGATGTGTTGGGGAGGGGGAGTCAACGACAAGGCGACAATCAAATCTTAACTCAAGGGCGTGCCAGCTTCGACGTGAACATACACACGCTAATCAACATGCACACAAATGCCGCCCTTCCCTCCCAGAACACATACAGCAATGCAAGCGCACCAGCACGTGTCCATGCACCTTCAAACAATCCTCAATGCACGCTTTCACGCGCAACTTCATCCCTTGCCGCACGCACCCACCTAGCATACCATCACAGAGTTACCAACCCCCACGGGTACACGCAGACGCACGCGCCCCGGCTCACCCTCCTCTCCCGCCACCAGGATCCGTCCCATCGCCCCCGTCGCCCCGATCCTCAGCTCCTCTGGCAGGTTGCCCCGCGTCAGCTTGCTGGTGTGCAGGTCAGACAGGTCGGGCTTGTGGGCCTCCAGGGTATGCACGATGGGCAGCTTGGCGGCGCGCGCCACAGCCAGCAGGCGCTGCGCGCCGGGGACGCACTCCTGCGGGCAGGCGGGGGAGGGGGAGCAGGAGCGGGAGTGCGCGGTAGATATCGCGGGGCATGCAGAGTTTGCAGACCTATCGCAGTCAAAGAGGCTTGTGTGAAGCCAGGGATGACTTCTGGAAATGGAAAACGACCGGCAGCGCGGCGGCTCGACAGACTGTGTGTTCGACACAGATTCTGCTGCATTTTCAACAGTTGTCGAGTCCTTGGGCAGAAAGGGGTTTCGCCATCCATCTCGTCGCAGGCTGCGCCCCGTCAAACCTCCAGGCCCACCCACCATGAGCAGGCCGACGTCGTTCTTGAGTGTGTCCCCAAAGCCGCCCTTCAGCATAAAGTCCTTCTGGAAGTCGATCATGATGACGGCGGTGGACGCAAGGGGCAGGCTGTACGGGTAGGGCCGCGCCGCCACGGTGGCGATCGGCGAGGCCGCTGCCGGCGGCGGCGCCGGCGGCGCGGCGGGCGCGGGCAGCTTCTCGATGGCGGCGAGGAGCGCGCCCGAGTCAGCGACGGCGCCAAAGACGCCCCCCTACATGGTGTTGCGAGGGAGGGCAAAGGATGAGTTTGGTCAATAACATTTTGGGCCACCTCGAGATGGCCAGCTGCTGTTACCACTTCAGCCGCCACCACCTTCGCAGTACCGCCCGCTTTCCACACACGTGTGTATAGAATTCAAAGAGGACGAGTGGCACGAAGGCAAGCGAGGGCGCCGACCTGCTTCTTGACCATGTCGCAGGCGGCCAGGTGGTTGGCGGCGGCGGTGGCGGCCGTGCAGTCGCTGAGCAGCAGGCACTCGTAGCCCATGTCGTTGGCGTCGCGCATGGTGGTGTGGACGCACACATCCTGAGCCAGGCACAATATGTGTGTGTATGTGTGTGTGTATGTGTGTGTGTATGTGTGTGTGTATGTGGGTTTTGAAGCAAAGGGCATGAGGGGTGAACGAGTTGCAGTTGGTTTGTCACGAGGGTGATGAGGTGCATGGGAAAAGGGACAGGCCAAAGGGTTGGAAGTGGGTTAGGAGGTCGCCTTGGACGCCTGACGGCCTCGAGTGCTCCGTTGGGCAGGGGCTAATGCAGGAGTGCAACAAGTGATGCATCTAGCACTTGGGGGCCCCATAGCTGCTGTCGTCGCCCGACTTGCAGGATCGGCTGTGCGTCCTTGCGTATGCCCCACACCCCTTTACTAAGCCCCCAAACCAGACCCTAGCGACCACCAAACCATGCCTGTCCCGTCGCCCCCGGTTGCAACACCCATGCGCAATACACACAAAACACACCGTGGTGATGCCTGCAAAAATGATGTGAGTGATGCCGGCTGTCCGCAGAATCAAATCCAGGTCTGCTCGCCAAAGGGGGGGAGGGTGATTGGTGGAGGGTGGCGTTAGGGATTGGACGGGACAAGGAAGCCCCGGAATGATAGAAAGGGGTGCGCGCAGTAGAAGAGAGCCAACCCTCGCGCCCCGACGATGAGACGCAGCATCTGTTTTAGGCCCATGCCCATTCTAGGCCCATTCTACGCCCATGCCCAACACCCTGCCGCCCCCCACGGGTCGCACCCCGCGGCGCCCCCCGCCAACCCCCCCCCTGGGCCCCGCCGTCCGGCAGTCCGTCCGCGCGGCATGCTGGGGTTGACAATTCGATACTAGGGTTTCAACAAGAAAGTGGCAGGACGGCGTGTCGGGCGCCTCACCTGTGGCATAGAAGCACCCCTTGCCCGGCTTATCAATGATGACTTCCCCGGGGATGGGCGCCAGCTCATGGATGATGTTCCACCCGGGCTCGCCGCGCACCAGCACACGGCCCGCGGGGCCGGGGCTGCCGATGCCGGCGCCTGCGAACGTGGGGGCAGGGAGAGAGTGTGTGTCGCGGTCTGCGGGGTGGGCGTGTGCGCCCTGGTTTCGCGGGCGTCTTAATGGCGGCCCGCGCCGGTCCAGGGCGAGGCGAGGGCGCGTAGATGCCCTCAGCTTAGTAACTGAGGCGGCCCCCGGAGCATGTGTGTGCGCATGCCAGGTGCTGCGCACCAACTCTCCCCTCGCCACGAGCCGAAAGCGCTCGCACGTGCACCAGCACCAGCAGCTGCAGCAGGCGGCCGCCGCGGCCGCTACTGCGGCGACCGCCTGCCGCGGCGTCGGCGGCGGGCGTCTCGGGCGCGGGCGTGCGGGGCCGGCGGGCGCACCGATCTGCTTGGAGCGCCAGAGCTTGTTTGGTGGCAGGTCCTGCAGCTCGGGGCGGTGGCCCTCCCGCGTGTGGATGACCAGCAGGCCCTTGGAGCGGCACGCGGCCAGCACAGCCCTGTGGGTTGACCGGCAATGCGCAGGGTGGGCGGTGCAGGGGTAGGAAGGGGTGCGATGAGGGCGGTGGGAGGTAGGG